TTTACAAAGAATGCCCGTGTTGAAATGTACCTAGCCACAGTCTGAACGAAATTTCGTTTAAAAAACAAAATGGTGGTTTGCCATTGATTTCCTTCATGGAAGTGATCAGGCTCATTGAATGTCCATAGCTATAGTAATATTGAGTCTCTTCTTACAGTCAAGATGCTTCTTAACCAGAAAGTCACAGTCTGAAGGCCACGAGAACAAGCGTGTTCTCTCCTCGCGCCGTGGGAAGACAACCCTTGTATATCAAAGATTGTGAAACGCATTTTAAGTTACATAACCGTATTTCTACACAGACATAAAAAAGCAAGGTAGCCAGTGTTTAATATCAGATTATGTATTCAGGACATTGCCGCAGTTGTGTTGTTTTAGGAACCCCATCCACCGAAGTTCACGCGTGCCAATCATTGCTGACGCCATGAACTCAATGAAACATTCCTCTGCGTGTGTGTCTACTTAATGTGACTTTTGTAGCCGATCAAACCCATTCCCACCAACAAAGTATCCTTTGAACACTCTTTGTTGTCAGCATAGAATTTCTATGTGGCCTTGAGCACTGACAGTTCTTAGATAGCTGCCTTAAGTTTATCAAAACAGAACAAACAATAGTTAGGATGCAGAGTTTCTATTCCTGTGATTGCAAATACTATAGAAAGTGTATAGCATTTAGTTACTATTTCATTCGGTGTATTCTGACATAATTTTCCTGATTTTCCTAAACATTATGTAATATTTATTACCTCTTTGGACCCTGGCCAATTGCCCGATGGAAAATCTTCCTGATGTCAGCCCATCGTGCGCTGTACCAATGTCACCGTCTCTTTTTGTCGGTGACTATCGCCCATATATATCAGTCTTAGGTTGACCAGCGGCTAAAATCTTGCCAGCTCGTCCAAAGACCTTAAATCCGCATCGGACTGGTGGTACCTTGCCTCTTAGATGAACTCCGACCTCGAAGGAAAACATTCCTAACTGGTCAACTTATACAAGATGCTTTTTTAGCAGGGCAACAGCTATATTCTTTGTCCCCAAACAAGGGCTCCCTTAAATCCACACGGGAAACACTGCAAATGACAGCGTTATTGACAGGTTATATTACAAGCTAGGCTTTCTTGTGAAAATGTTGTCTTTTTGCTTTCCTGATTAGCTCCAATTTGGGTTTTTTTTTTGTGGTCCGGACTTCTGACATCACAACATTGTTATTAGCAAATAATCATATCAATCGGACGTAGATTATCGATAATGAATGAATTGTTGAATTTCCGTTTCCACAGCTAATTCACTTTGATGCTGCATTCAGTTGGACGCTTTTTTTTTCACAGGTTCTAATTTCACCAGTTGTAACTAATATAATATTTGCATGTATGAAACAAATATATGCTAATAAAATATCGAACGTTTATTATACACATTAAAATGCCGTAAACCAAGCAGAATAACAATTGTGACAAAATCTTGACTCAGAAAACGATGTTTTGTCTCTGTTGGAAGTTGCAATAGCTGGATAAGAACAAACATGTAAATCATGGTACAGGATAAGAGAGACAGGAGCACAAAGAAAAAGAGACACATCGGGTAGTAAAGTGCATGAAGCGGGAGCACCGTTTCTTTGAGACGGGGCGGGGGCGGTGTTCTCTATAGGATCTGCTGCTACTCGATGATGATAGAAACAAAACACGCAAACACAATTTTAATATAAGAGCCCTAAGCAGATTCAATAACTCACTGTAACTGTTGACTCGTTCCCATTTATAGAATTCATTCAGTGTTTCTTTGAAAGATCTCTGTCTTTCAAATCACTTGTACATTTTTTTTTTAATTTCTTAAGAATCTTTGTCGGATGGAATTTTTGCTTTGTTCGAAGCTTTCCAACGGCTTTACAAACGGAAACAAAGCCGATAGGAATAAAACCCACTTCAAAAAGTCACTATACTTTCTTGTATACACATTTACACACGACAACCAAAGTTCAAGGTGAAGACAAGAAATTAATTAGCATATTGAGTGATTTTTATGTCTGTTTATTGCATATTTCCACAACCTTTCATGTGGACTTCTGTGTATGTGTTTTTAAGATTCAACATGTGTGCCAGGCATATTCCTATGTGGATAAAATGTCAGCGTTTTTATGTTTCTTTGTGTTCATACATTGGTGCTGTCTAGCGAAAATGCATCTTAGAAAAGCTTAACTATACTAAATCCTCGTTTGATTTACGAATCAGATGCCGTAAACGCATTAAATATCGGCTGCTATGGATCAACAGTCTTTGTCTCTGTTCCTAGTTGTACACTCTATTTTATCGCTGTCCTCACTTCCAATAAATAGTCAACCAACCCTAAATCCTCGGGCACAAACACCCCTCCCAATGCCCCTTTTCCACCCACACCACAAAAGTGGTAAGTACAGACAGTAATGGCAGTGTTTTGGCATTTGTTTGTAGATAATGCTAAATCGGGGCCCGCTGCCTTCAACATTGCCCGCACTGCGGCTATTATACAAGAGCTGCTTTATATCATAGACACATTTATAAAATTATATTCCAATAGTAAGACGTTGGAGACGACACGTGAATTTTGCTACATGAACTTTTCCAGGTCACTCCACTAGGAAAATCTGCTACCAAGTTTCAATACACTTCTGCATTCCTAGTTCAATGCTACTCTAGGTCGCACGCATCTCCATAAATTTCAGTGCTGCAAAAACAAGAAATTAAAAACTAAAGTGATTAACTTATTTATCACTATTCAAAGCAGCTTGTGTATGCTATTTCAGCTGAAATGATATACATTCCTTACCTCCTTAAAACCTATCTAGTCTCAGTTATAAATATATCCAATACTCACCCACTGGACCTTGATTCCTATTATAACTCCTCCTGTCTAATCAGAAGGAAAAACAAACTAAACTGGGACATTTCCATAGGTAAGCGGGCAACAAACAGTTCCCATAGTGATGGTGCCAGTAGGTACCTGATTAAAAGGTAGCCTTCATATTTTTCTTCTTTTTTCCCCTTGCATGTATGAAGCAATCGTCCAGACACTCTAAACTGCATGTATAAAGCAATGGCCTAGACACTCTAAACTGCGTGTATAAAGCAATGCCCCAGACACTCTGCTCACTCTAAACTGCATGTATAAAGCAATGGTCCAGACACTCTGCTCACTCTGGACTGCATGTATAAAGCAATGGCCCAGACACTCTAAACTGCGTGTATAAAGCAATGCTCCAGACACTCTGCTCACTCTAAACTGCATGTATAAAGCAATGGTCCAGACACTCTGCTCACTCTGGACTGCATGTATAAAGCAATGGCCCAGACACTCTAAACTGCGTGTATAAAGCAATGGCCCAGACACTCTAAACTGCGTGTATAAAGCAATGCTCCAGACACTCTGCTCACTCTGGACTGCGTGTATAAAGCAATGGCCCAGACACTCTAAACTGATTTAACCTCTCCAGATATGGAAGCTGTCTATTGTTCTGCTCTTTTGACCTGCTCCGTGAGAGCTCCCATCATCTTCAACTTATCGTCAAGTGTCTCCCCTGTCCCGAAACGTTATTTTAATGCCATGAATTAAAACAAAACATGATGTTTTAAATTTTAAAATTACGGTTTTGTTTTCAACGATATCGCAATTCCAAAATATGGATTTCTGGTGAGACTGTGGGTTATCCAGTGATTGATAAAGGCTAAATTACGATAAAATGCCGTTTATCCTAGTTACTAAACAAGGCTAATGTTTGTCAACATGGAGTTTATTATAGCAACTAAACAAGGCTAATATATGTCAACATGGAGTTTATGTAGTAACTAAACAAGGCTAATGTCTGTTACCATGGAGTTTTTCATAATAACTAAATAAGGCTATTATCTGTCAACATGGAGTTTTTCATAGTAACTAAACAAGGCTAATATATGTCAACATGGAGTTTATGTAGTAACTAAACAAGGCTAATGTCTGTCAACATGGAGTTTTTCATAATAACTAAATAAGGCTATTATCTGTCAACATGGAGTTTTTCATAGTAACTAAACGAGGCTAGTGTCTGTCAACACTGACTTTATCGTAGTAACTAAACAAGGCTAATGTCTGTCAACACTGACTTTATCGTAGTAACTAAACAAAGCTAATGTCTGTCAACACTGACTTTATCGTAGTAACTAAACAAAGCTAATGTCTGTCAACACTGACTTTATCGTAGTAACTAAACAAAGCTAATGTCTGTCAACACTGACTTTATCGTAGTAACTAAACAAAGCTAATGTCTGTCAACACTGACTTTATCGTAGTAACTAAACAAAGCTAATGTCTGTTAACACTGACTTTATCGTAGTAACTAAACAAAGCTAATGTCTGTCAACACTGACTTTATCGTAGTAACTAAACAAAGCTAATGTCTGTCACCATTGACTTTATCATAGTTACTAAACAAAGCTAATGTCTGCCAAAACTGGCTTTGATAATGATTAAACAATACTGATACATGCTAATAATGTCATCGTCATGATAGGTAAAGTTAACCTCTTGATACTGGGTTTGAATCCACGTAGAGGAGGAATTAAAAAAGAAATATGACATTATGATTTAAGTCTACCCATTCTAATGCAGGATATGTTGTGGTCAATAAAGTCGGCGGGCGTGAACTTGATCAATCCCAGTGAGTTCCGATTGAAGGAGGAAGATGAGTATAGGAGAAGATAAAGAAGAAGAAGAAGAAGAAGAAGAAGAAGAAGAAGAAGAAGAAGAAGAAGAAGAAGAAGAAGAAGAAGAAGAGGAAGATATTTACATTCATAAACTGTCTGAAACAAGATTCTCATTTGACAAAGTGACCTCATAAATATGCCTCAATGCACGCATTAATCGTTTCCTGCAGTTTCGTCGTTCCTGAAATAATTCCACTAATAAAAGCTAAACGAGCGGCTGTATTGATTGCCACTAAACATGCATGACAGTGCTAGCATTTTTCAAAGAGTCTATATTGTTTTCTGACATTGTTAACGAAGCACATTCATTGAGTGATTTATTGTCATATTCTTGGTCTCCCCAGTTTTCAGGTGATTGCCAGTAAATTGCGTGTTCTCTAATTTCATATCACGGCTAAAGCAGCTTGCATTTGTAGCTCTGGGTAATCTGTGAATTGTGTTGTTCGTCCGCGCATGTCTTTCCTCAATATGGTTTTTAAAATGACATCCTGTATGGATCTTGTGCTTTGGTGATTTGTTAAAACTTGCAATGTCTCTCACACATTGTAATGTTTGTTTTTAACAGAATTGTGTCTTTTGTTTTTGTTCAGTCGTGACTAACTCAGTATAGTTTCCTGGGTTTCTATATGTTTAAGAAGAAAGCTAACAGTTGGGAATGACGACTTTCTTGCCCTAGGCTTCATGCCACAGGCTCCATCTCACTCCTGTGCTGAACGTTTCAGCTGCTGAAAGTGACGCACATACCATGTTACTCAACAGCTGCAGCAATGACTCATTGAGATTTCCCAAAATTTACAAAGGTTTTCCAAATAATTCAATCGAAAACAAACAACATTTAGACAGAAAGCCAAACTTTCTTTACTGTACCACTGAGGTCCTGGTTATCTGATTCTGTCTGAGGGCGAGAAAACATAGCACGTGACCCGGCTGTTTGTGTGGTCGTCATCTGATAGAACACGCTATCCTGTTCCAGCTAGCTTTTTTGTACTCGAGTGTATGGCTCTCTCTGCTGCGTTTCCACCCCCCCCCCCCCCCCACCCCTCTGAAATTTTAGCTCTGTAACTAGCAGACAATTTTCAGCATCGTCTGGAAAGGAAAGGCCAAGAGGCATATTATACTGACTAGTGATTATGTACACCAATGGGCACTTGATAGATAATATGGTCAGCAACAATGCGGTCGCCATTACATCCATTTAATTTTCTTGTTCTTATATTTTAGACTGGGTCGACCTCGGAGCCAACATCAATTATATATATATATATATATATATATATATATATATATATATATATATATATTTTTTTTTTTTTTCAAATGACAATGCAAAAGGATCAGTAAAAGCGACATACAGTAAACGATCAGTATTGATAGCCTCTACTAGAGGATCAGTAATAACTACAACATTTAGTCAAGGATCCTATTGATGGTAACGTCTAGTCATGGATCGTGTTAAGCGACTGCTGCTAAGCTTAAAAGGTGTGTAAATACTAGAGGTCCCAAATAATTGCACCGGTTTTTATTAGCTTGTCTGGTATCTCTGAGCAGAGTCATTGTTCGTCAATTGTCATAAACAGCACGAACTGTCATAACGCCAACAGTGATTCCTCGTGGATCTCCGAAACATATGTACTCACGAATCAAAGAACGATGTCTAAAATCAAATAGTTAACTTTTGGCGCGTCTTAATCACTTCGTCATGCACCGCTCCTTTCATAACTTATAACTGGACCGTAGGTACAGTATTACTAATATGAAACCATTGAACATTGTTACCTGCAATGGCTGACTGGAAGCCGCCATTGTATTCACAGCCAACTTCGTTGTGGATGTAGTCATCGCGTTCATCCAAGAAGTTGTCCTCGCTGTCGGGGCCCCCTACCAGAGCCCCATACAGAATGTGTGCATTGGGCTCCGACTTGCTGTAGTCTGCCCATGTGCAGGGGTGGGGTGGTGATTTGCAGGAACTGAAACACACATTTGATGTAGTTATGCTATATTCTATTATTATAATTGACGTCACTGCATATTGTGCATTGTCATGTTTTAAGGCAGCAGCCACCCCATGGTACCTCTGTCGACTGTTCTCTGTTTATAATTTGTTCCTTGATCTTGAGGGTGCCAAACGTTTGTCTAGATAGTCTTCACTTGCAGTGCACGTAGGCATGTTAGCGCTAGAGATTCATAGTTATCCATCAGTCTAGTCTAGGTACTGTTGAGTATATTAGCTTTTATCATGTTTCTTTCGTTAGTGGGCAGATTCTTGACTGACAACACACTATTTAATGTATGTCTGACGTCAGTGTACATATTCTGGGAATGTGAAACTACCTGTTGTTAACTATGCATGCCATCAAGAGCGGGAGAGCCAATAGATCAACAGTCTTGGGATAATGATGCAGCGGAAAGTAAACAGAGCCGACACTCAGCGTTCATTAGAAACGCCAGACGGACATACACTGTCTTAAAGATCGGGGCAAAGAAATAATCTGAATGAATGACCCGAATGCTGTAATGTAGGTGTTTAACTTAACTCAACCGTGTGAGTCTAGTTATTATTACCGATGCAAGTTTAGTTATTGTTACATCCAGGTCTCTAAAACAACAATTCATTACTCGCTGCAAAGACTCTTTTAAGGAAAGAGCTAGGGGGAGAGAGAGGGGGGGGGGGGTTTAATTGCCTATTAAAGGTAGTCTTACAGTATACCGTTGTGTAGTGCCAGAAGAAAGACCTGGTTTCATTTGAGGTTTAGTAGTTGTGACCCGCATACATCTAGAGGCTGTTTACTGTGAAAGTTTAGCGGTTATAAGTGTACATCGCCAGTAGTCAGTTAACCCAAAGCTTGGTAACTGCGCAAAGACAGTGCATGTCAACACAACAAATGTCATTTCATGAACGCCAGACAAGTGTTATTCTAGAAACAGCCCGAGTGCGACAATACTGCATACTGCTAGGTGATTAAATATCACAAGCATACAAGGGAGAGAGTTCGATGCCTGGCCAACTTATGTCCCTTGTAATATTTCACAAACCAAGTATGGACATCCGAACTTTACACAACACTTTTTTTTGGCTACCTAATCAAGCCACATGTTTTCATCTACATTGGCTAGTTGGGCATCATAATATGGCAGCTGTGTGCCGACTATATTGCTCAAAATTTAACTGAAAGCTATTTTATTTTCGGGCTGCAGATTTGAACACTCTTAACTTTTCTTCTGTTAATCCGTACATTTCTTTGTCTACTGACCTACCTCACCAAATTCCTGTTTACTTATTCATTTACGTGTCTAATCCAAGTTTCGTCATTCTCAGGACGAATTTTTTTGTTTTTTGAAGCCCCACCCTGGATTTTGCCACCGGCCGCAATACAGGCAGGCCATAAATATGGCCAATTGTTTGAACGCGGTTTCTGGGACTTTCCACGGCGATCCTCATCCACATGGTGGCACTTTGTGTAATCAGGTGTTTATCGCTTGTGTGATGTCCTAGTGGGGTAGAAAGTCAGTCAGTCAGTCCTGTTTACTTCCCAGCCATTACTCTTTCTGTATATCTGTCGTCGGTCCGTTAGTCGTTCAGTCTATCTGTTCGTTTCTATGTCTGTATACATAATCAGCCACCTACTTGTCATCTATTTGTCGGCTGTCCTTCCCCCAGATTGTCTATTAAAACACTTTCTCAACTCAGGATGTCGTGGTACAAAGCCACTGATGTTCCTTTGTACAAACAAAATAATAAAAAAAGACAAGCAAGACAGAATGTTATCATGTATCGTCTCTTTTCGTGTAGTCGGCCATGCTTGTCTATCTCACGCCGAAACTATAATCACAGATCATATATATGTTACTGTTCTCTGCCCGCCCACTCAGTTATTTATCGATGTTAATGTTCTCTGCCCGCCCACTCAGGTGTTTATCTATGTTACAGTTCTCTGCCCGCCCACTCAGGTATTTATATATGTTACTGTTCTCTGCCCGCCCACTCAGGTGTTTATCTATGTTAATGTTCTCTGCCCACCCACTCAGGTATTTATCTATGTGTTGTAAAGACAATCATCACTTTTGTTTGTGTCATGTTATGAGAAGACGGAGACTGGAACACATTGTGACCACTAGAAGATTCTTGACATCCCCTTGTCATGGACTGGAGGAGTGTCAACACATAACTGATACACGCATTTACGGATTGTGTGTAGATTGTGGAGAAGCATTATCGCCCATATCAGTCGGCAAGGCAGTTGACGATGACGATGCTTTTTGTTTTTATGGGTGTCAGTTTTCTTTATGGTTTTTTGTTTCTTTTCCCGTACACTCCCCCCCCCCCCCCCCCCCGCAATCCCCTTTCCCACAAAATCTCGACTACCGTTGATTTATCGCTCTAATCAATTTAGAGGACTTCATCTGTCTCTTGGGAAACTATTAGGGCTGTACCAAGTAGTGATTTTCACTATTCGGCCGAATACGAATAGTGTATAGTGTATAAAATATATCTTTAAAAAAAAAACATTTATAATGTCAAATATACTCGGAACTTTTACTTGACATAAAGTAGCACAGAATAGTCGTCTAATCTTTTAGAATTCTGAGCACTTGAGATTTACAGCTGCAGATATCACTCGTTTCCATTCATCTCTCTGGCTGGCCTTATCTTCACAATTTGTGTCACCAGTTGTTTGCAGGTCTGGCTGGACATTATCTCTCGAACTTATTTTTTGTCTGCCTTGTGGTCTACGCCCATTCCTCTCTCAGGTGTATACAGTTTTTACTTCTCTGTCATCTGCCATTCTTTCAATTTGCCCCAACCATTTTAGTCTGTTAGCTCTCATGCCAGTGATCAATGGTGATTTAAACAGATTATGTGTTACGTTGTTGCTTCTCACTCTCCAATCCCCGCTGTTAGCATCTTTGATGGGCACAAAGATTTGTCGTAAGACTGTTTTCGAAAACATGTAATAAGGCCTCATCTCTTTTATTTCTGCTTCAAGTTTTAGAGCCATATAAAACGACTGGTCTTATCAACGTTTTATATATTTTGATCTTGGTGTTGCGAGACAGACACTTTGACTTTAGCAGATGTTGAAGGGCATAGTACACTTTATTTCTTTATTGTATTCTAGATTGTATTTCTTCTCTCAGCATGTTGGAGCAGTTGAAGTTTGCACCCAAGTACTTATATGTTTCCGTTCGTTTAAATTTCATATTATCGGCTTGGATGTGGCCGGAGTTTATATTCTTTCCATGTCCAGTAAGTATTCGTACAGAATGGTAAACATTTAAAAACATTTTATGTTCTGCATCCTTCAACCAGTCTGTGGTAACTAATAACTATGAATGAAAGAATCCTAAGTATTATAACAAGTAACTAAACTTGGAAATTGTCACTGACAGCCTAGTTAATGCAGGAAAGCTGCATTAGATTTCAACAAAACCAATCGTTCCATGTTGTCAGTATTAAGGCCGTGTATGCAGAAGCGGGTGTAAGGTAACTACTATTCGTATTCGGCCCGACCGCAACTATTCGGCCGAATACCGAATAGTCAATAGGTCCACTATTCGGTCCTGAAGCGAATGTGAAGCGAATATTCGGTACAACCCTAGAAACTATATCTTTTGTTCTTCTGTCAGTTCGTGTTATTCTTCTCATTTATGTTAGAATAAGCATATCCATGGTCGATCTGTGAGTCTATTATAATTTTTTTTTTAAATCACGAAAAGAAAAGCTTAGCAGACAACTACATGAGCCTACCTGGAAGCGTGGTGAGGTCTTGTAGGGAAGCGGTATCCGTAGCCGACCACATAGCTGCGTCCGCTGTCACCAAGCATGTAGTGAATCTGACGGCGTGCCCAGGGTCTATAGATGGATGGCTGGATGCCCAAGTCGGCGGCCACTAACGCCACGAACGCCATGTTAGCTGTGGGCGAGGTGAACATTGAGGAAACCGTGAAGTCGTGCTAAATGCAACAACTTTACAATAATAACGTTATGATGGTCAGCCAACCAATTTCCAGCTGGAACTACAAGAATGCAGACTGGGACCTCTACAAAAACTTCACTAACGAAGCTCATTCCAACCAATAAGGTTAGAAAAAACACCACAACTGTTACCAGTATCATATTCGAAGAGGTATACAAATCGATCCCCCGAGGTCGAAGACACAACTATGAATCCTTCTGGACCAAAGAACTGCTACTGCAGAAAGAAGCACTGAACCAAGAGTACAAATGGAACAAGATCCCTCTGACCTCAGTGTAACAGAAAAATAAATGAGGCTTTTTACAGAAAAGAAAAACTGCATCAGGACAACATGGCAGGAAGCCACTGCAGCTCCCAACGTGGAGAAAGTCTTTAAAAATGTATGACATCTAGTAAAGAGTCTAAATGAGGAGAATCATAACAACCATACCACCACTGTCAATGCAGATGGTGGAAAACTTCCATTGGTAAACAAGCAGCAAACTAGCTGGCCGATAGTTTTGCAGAGGAAAGCAAAATCTTCATGTCTAGAGCCAGAGAAAAAGAAGTGACGAGAGAACTGAGGAAAACCACAAAAATAAAATAAAAAAATAACCAAGATAAAATTAGGAAACTTTAAGGAAAGAGAGGCATCTGGACCAGAGAGAAAACAACACATGCAATTATAGTACATTTGGGACCAGCTGGTAGGTATCGACTCTTAGACCTTATCAATCAATCCTGGACCCAGGGACTTCTTCCTAAGGAATGGAAGGAAGCAGAAACAGTCATCGTAGCCAAGAAAGGAAAACCTAAAGAAAACAATTCAGTTATCATCTTATAAACCCCCTAAGCTGCCTTGGAAAAACCATGGACAGATTATTGAACCACAGGTTTCCTAATTTCCTGGAAGAAAACAGGATATTTGATGACAGCCAATCAGGCTTCAGGAAACACAGAAACGCCGATGACCAAACCTCTTATCTAACACAGGAAATTGAAGATGCTTTCCAGAAAACAAATACAAATTGATAGCTACTTTCTTCGACCTGACCAAAGCCTTTGATCAGGTCTGGAAGAGCAGACCCTTGCTAAAACTAGCACACTGTGGGATAAAAAGGCATATGTTTGCTTGGATTAGAGACTTTTTTTTTACAGACGCTGTGCGAGTCAGACTGGAAGAACACAAGGGCAAGCTGGTCAGGTTAAAAAAGGTGTCCACCAGGGAGATGTTATATCTATCAACCTGTTTATTCTTTCCATAAATGACCTCCTAAAACAGTTCACGACTCATATTTACAAGGCCCTCCATGCAGATGACCTGGCAATATGAACTTAAGCTGAACATATAGGAACAACTGAAACAGGAATGTAGGAAGCTATAAATACAGTTGAGAAATTGACAGACTAATGGAAAGTCACAAAGCTAGAACAAGTTGATTTGTACCTAAAAGGAAAAACGCCGTATTTGGGATTAACATTCGACAATAGGCCGACAAGTATACACAGAATACGTACGATCAAAACTGGGGTATGGCATGGAAGCATACTCCACTGCAACCAAAAACAAAACAACAACAACAGAACATTAATCTTAGAATCATCACTGGAGGTATGAGAAGCACACCAATCAATGAGCTAGAGGCAGCTTCTGGCTTTCAGAGCTTGAGCCTTCGAAGGGAAAAAAAAGGTGCTTATCCAGGCATATAGCATACACCTACAGCCTAACTATACAGTCACATCATTAGTCCCAGGCATAGAAAGAAAGGCTGAAGAATGTGACCTTTAACAGTATGCAATGATCCTTGAACATGTTTATAACTCTTATCCAGAACCCGAATGGACACAGACATACACCGATGGATCATTGGAGGGAGCAGAAAAAAGAAAGAAGAAAAAAAAAAACGGAGGAGCTGGATCGGTTGTCAAGCTGCATGATGGGACAATAGTGGTAACGTCGTGCGCCTTAGGAAGACTCTTAACAAACTTCAGAGCAAAGCAGCAAGCAATTATTGATACAATCAACGTGCTTGCGGAAAGAAAATTATAAAAAGCAGAATTGTTTTCTTTGTGACTGCATGTCAGTCCTCAAGGTGACTCTGAGGGATCCACGAGACAACATAGGGAAAGAACTGACCCGCAAGCTAAACAAACTCTTAGAAAACATTCAAATCGTTTTCCAGTTGATTCCGACTCCCTGCGGAATGCCAGGAAATGAGTTAGAGGACAGACTTGCAAAAACAAAAATGGAGGAACAAAGAAGAAACAGCGCACCCGTTCATTGCCATCACCAGAAATCATAACACTGTCAAGGGAAAATAAGGGTAATTGTGGAGAGAAAAACTAACAGTAAACATCCACAAGATCCCATAAGCAGACTCAACAAGAATATACAACGATTTTCAGTCTAGGAACAGGACACTACAGGTGCTATGGGGAACCAAGAAGGACCTGCTGCTGACATGCGAGTTCATAGAGTCAACCCACCTGATGGTCTGATCTGAGCATAGGAAACCGAATGCAAAGAAGAAGAAGGAGAAGAAGCTAGGCGATTTAGTCATACTTTAAGAAGAAGAAAGTCTATATGGGAATTTTAATTTTAAATACATAAGTCATCAATTGATGGGCACAAACTACTTCTGAATTTTTCAGTTAAACGAGGTGTTGAAAGTGTTACCATTAGCGGCCATACACTTAGCATTGGGCGACCCTTACCTGGGCAACTTTGATAAGTGTATAGTGGGATTGCTGAACCTGGCTTACAATTAATTTCAAGCAGCCTGGCTCAGACAAGAATGACTGCAGTCCAGCTGATACAAAGAGGCAGGTTAATAATGGCTATACAAGGTTATTCAAAATTAAGGATACATTTTTATTTATGTATATTTCATTACATATATATATATATATATATATATATATATATATATATATATATATATATATATATATATATATATATATATATATATATATATATACTGAATATGAATAATTTACACACAAGAGAGAGGGGAAGGTCTAAAACTTCAAATACTATCTATCGCTAGAGCGCAGTTGGCCGACCTGCAGAACTGTATCACAGCTGCAGTGAACTCCGTTAGCAGGAGATGATTTTTTCGTGTGTGGGATGAGCTCGGCTACCGCTTGGATGTTTGCCGAGCAGCAGACTACAATCATATTGAATATATATACCCTCTATTATAAGTCTGTAAACTGTAGACTTTCCTCTCTCTCTCTCTCTCTCTCTCTCTCTCTCTCTCTCTCTCTCTCTCTCTCTCTCTCTCTCTCTCTCTCTAGTGCATATTTGATTAATATGCAGTGTATATTCCAAGAAATATACATTAATAAAAGTGTACCCATTGTGAACTTCGCACCACAATTTATAACCGGAGAACAAGAAGATGAAGAAGAAGAGTCCTGTACTTTGGAAACAGAACAAGCAGACTTTCACTATTGATCTCTCTGACAAGTTGTCTCAGTCTAAAATGCATAGCAGGGACGGACATACATGCATACATACACAATTAGAATAAAAAATCCAAATAGTAAGATTTAGGAAATAAACACGTCCTCTCAGTAGGGAGTCGGCAACATGATGATGATTGTGATCTATGACGATGCGTAGACGGGTCTTAACCAGTTTCAGCCTAGGTCCCGTTGTACCTCTGAATCCCAGTTCAAGATTCAGATCGGCACCGAGGCGGATTCTCTTTTAAAAAACTAATCTTGGCTCCCAGATCGAGCAGCCACTATTAAAAACAGGTGATGTGATCCAAACTATATTCATCCACTTTCGTCCCTTTTAGGACGACATTTTTTGTCATTTGAAGCCCTGCTCTGGCTTTTGCCAGGGGCCACAATATAGGCAGGCCATACATATGGCCAGGTGTCTTAACGCGGTTTCTGGGACCTCTCCACGGTGATCCTCATCCGCATCGTGGCACTTTGTGTCATTGGGTGTTTATCGCTTGTGTGATGTCCTGGTGGGGTGGACAGTCAGTCAGTCAGTCAGTGATCCAAAGTAAAAACGGCCGGACTGAATTTAACCAAATCAAGCCTCGACTGCTTAGTAGACTGTAAAGATATAGACATAACACTATGTGTTATTCTGCGCTACTGTTGTAAGAAAAATCCTTTGCTCGTCCACAGATGACGCATCGCAGAGCGAAGCACTCAGAAGGTCTGTCTGTTGTTGAAATTATTATAATGAATGGGAAACAATCGACATAGATTTAATGTCCGTTTTCTATACCGATTATTTCCCTTACACTTCACTGCTTGGAGTACTGATATAAGGCCGTCACGTCCAATCTCATCTGAATAGTTGCCGAGAGTCTTAGGCTCAAATTCACAACGATGTGAACTTTAGTTACTGGTGAGGCTTCCTTCCGAGAAATGTATGGGAAAGTAAATGTGGCTAGCAGATTATAGAACAACTTATCCACTGTGTGCTGCTTGGTCTGTAGCATATGTCCAACGTCGTGCACCTCATACCAACTGATGTGTAAAGGGTGCCCTACAAATGACAGACATGTCAGAGGAAGGTCTAATTGAGACAAGGACTTCCTTGAGGTGCTGGGCTGTAGTGGGACTAACTTGTTTCACTATCTGGTGCTCTTTGTGGCGAATTGGTGGAGTCGTTTGCCTTGCACTCGGATTGTCGATTTCTCATTTTACTGAAGCATCGTTTAGCTCACGAGGTTAGTTTTTATGATAATCACTGGAGATTGCACCTAGAGCTACGGAGTTTGTGCGATGCTCTCGGCAGGCGGCTAGCTGTTCTGTGGAGTGAGACCAAGGCAACAGATGATGTCCGCTGTGTATCCACTACTGTCTTTGAGCTGTATGCAGCGAGTCTCCAACTTTCCCCTAGTGTGGAACTCTCGTACTAATGTCACTGCTCTTCGTTCTATTCTCAAAAGGTCTCAGCCTCTATGACAGCTGTGTTGGGAAGTATGTCCTCAAATCATCTGTACCACTTGGTGCAATGAAGTGGACTCGCTAACTCTCTATTCCTATCTCAACACTCGCAATTCCAAGAGTGGTTACAAATGATCTCGTATGTTCGACAAACAAAACAATCTATCTCAAGCCAAGCAACGTATGATAGGAACAGCTACACAAAAATACTGTTAAATAAGCTACCCTTGAACAACCTATATTATTATGCATTCTACAGAGTTATAAAGTAATCATCAACTATTCTGCGGGTAACTGGTCATCTGTTCGTGTTTGATGCTAAGGCTGAGACTGTCGATGAGAATAATGTACAACCAAGTCCAGGCTGTTCTATCATTGTCTCCTACTGATGACTTTTACTTTGCTGGTTAACTCTGTTATTGCCTGTACTCTACAGCTTTACAGCTAGCTGTGGATGTTACAAAAGTAGGAAAGGAGCCTGTTTCAGCCAATACCGAGTCCGACAAATTATTGCAGACCTGTCTAAACATGAACTACTGGGTATTTGACGGTCGATGTGGACAATATCAGGCAGACAGCCTATCCTGCCCAGGTCATTTCCAGGTGCCTATTTCAGCCCGTGTTAACCTTATATTCCTAGACCATTCAAACGAGGCCTGATTGGCGTCACAGGCCAACAGACAAGTGTCTAGCCCTTGTTTTACCGCAGCTCTCCAGGTTACTGATCAAGGCAATACTTTTAGATGTGTGAGTGTGTGTATGTGTACCTGTTTGTGTACCTGTATGTGTACCTGTGTGAGATTGTTTGTGTATACATGTAGATGGTTGACATTATGTATGTGTACATGTGTGTGTGTGTGTGTGTGTGTGTGTGTGTGGGGGGGGGGGGGTTCCCTGTGTGAGATTTTGTGTGTTTTGTTTTATATTGTGTGTGTGTGTGTGCCTGTGGGAGATTGTATGTGTGTCTATGAATGGTATTATGTATGTGTATATCGGTAGGTGTACCATGTGTGAGATTATGTGAGTGTATGCATGTCTCTATATATATATATATATATGTGTGTGTGTGTGTGTGTGTGTGTGTGTATACCCGTGTATGATTATTCGTGTGTACCTTTCCCAAACTGAGTGCTCGCGTAAGTATGGATACATTGTATAGATTTAAACACTCATGGAATTAAACAGTTATAACTAAGTGACAGATTACATGACCTTATGCTTCACGTGTAGCTCTCACATTCTACACGACCACGCATACACCATCTGTGGTACCTGTGTCACTCATACACCATCCCTGGTACCTGTGTCATGCATACACCATCCCTGGTACCTGTGTCACGCATACACCATCCCTGGTACCTGTGTCACTCATACACCATCTCTGGTACCTGTGTCACGCATACACCATCTCTGGTACCTGTGTCACACATACACCATCTGTGGTACCTGTGTCACGCATACACCATCCCTGGTACCTGTGTCACGCATACACCATCCCTGGTACCTGTGTCACGCATACACCATCCCTGGTACCTGTGTCACGCATACACCATCCCTGGTACCTGTGTCACTCATACACCATCCCTGGTACCTGTGTATCGCAGAGTTCCCCAGTCGCTCCTAAAGGCCAGCCCCTTGGGCGTGTAGTGGACATGACCTCCTGGTAACCATTGGGAGAATGTGCTCTCGATGACAGACTTGTATTGTCTGTCTTTTGTCAGCTTGTACAGTAACACCTGTAGATAGAGGGTCAGTTTGTACAGTAACACCTGTAGATAGAGTGTCAGTTTGTACAGTAACACCTGTAGATAGAGGGGCAGTTTGTACATTAACACCTGTAGATAGAGGGTCAGTTTTTACAGTAACACTTGTAGATAGAGGGTCAGTTTGTACAGTAACACCTGTAGATAGAGGGTCAGTTTGTACAGTAACACTTGTAGATAGAGGGGCAGTTTGTACAATAAAACCTGTAGATAGAGGGTCAGTTTGTACAGTAACACTTGTAGATAGAGGGGCAGTTTGTACAATAACACCTGTAGATAGAGGGTCAGTTTGTACAGTAACACTTGTAGATAGAGGGTCAGTTTGTACAGTAACACTTGTAGATAGAGGGGCAGTTTGTACAGTAACACCTGTAGATAGAGGGGCAGTTTGTACAGTAAAACATGTAGATAGAAGGGCAGTTTGTACAGTAACACATGTAGATAGAGGGTCAGTTTGTACAGTAACACTTGTAGATAGAGGGTCAGTTTGTACAGTAACACTTGTAGATAGAGGGTCAGTTTGTACAGTAACACCTGTAGATAGAGGGTCAGTTTGTACAGTAACACTTGTAGATAGAGGGTCAGTTTGTACAGTAACACCTGTAGATAGAGGGTCAGTTTGTACAATAACACTTGTAGATAGAAGGTCAGTTTGTACAGTAACACATGTAGATAGAGGGTCAATTTGTATAGTAACACCTGTAGATAGAGGGGCAGTTTGTACAGTAACACATGTAGATAGAGGGGCAGTTTGTACAGTAACACCTGTAGATAGAAGGCCAGTTTGTACAGTAACACATGTAGATAGAGGGTCAATTTGTATAGTAACACCTGTAGATAGATGGTCAGTTTGTTCAGTAACACCTGTAGATAGAGGGTCAGTTTGTACAGTAACACCTGTAGATAGAGTGGCAGTTTGTACAGTAACACTTGTAGATAGATGGTCAGTTTGTTCATTAACACCTGAAGACAGAGGGTCAGTTTGTACAGTAACACCTGTAGATAGGGGGTCAGTTTGTACAGTAACACCTGTAGATAGATGGGCAGTTTGTACAGTAACACCTGTAGATAGAGGGGCAGTTTGTACAGTAACACCTGTAGATAGAGGGTCTATACAGTAACACCTGAGATAGAGGGTCAGTTTGTACAGTAACACTTGTAGATAGAGGGTCTGTACAGTAACACCTGAGATAGAGGGTCAGTTTGTACAGTAACACCTGTAGACAGTGGGTCAGTTTGTGGCATCTGTCTCTAGTAAAAAATATATATATGCACACACACACAGCCAGCTGGTATAGCAATGCCTATAGATAGTAAGTGAATTTGTACAGCAACACACATAGATAGGCGGTCAGTTTGTACAGTGAAACGTGTATATTGGAAGTCTGCTTCTACGGTAATACCTCTAAAAAGAAGTTCACTTAATACCTAGTTTCAGTATCTATCATGGAATGAAGGCCGAAGGGTTGCGATATGCACAGAACGAGCCAAAAGGTTAACAACTCATGGTTTTTTAGATACTTATATTTTTAAACAAAATACAATAACACGCAGTAAGATTTAAGAAAAAGAAACAGAAACAAATGTAGACAGTAGAACAATTTGTGCAGCAAAACCTGTAGACAGACTGTTTGTTTCTACTGTACTACACATGTAGATAAAAGGTCACTTTATTCAATAACTTCTAAAGAAAGAATGCCGATTTATACAGTAACACATGAAGAAAGAAGATCAGTTTGAACAGTAACCACTGCATTTAAAAAGCAAATGTGTATACTCACGTATCTGGTTAGGTAATCATTGCTTGCAGTTGTGTCATAGTTTAGTGAGTGTAGTCGAGTAGTAACATGAGCAGACTGAAGATCAGTGTGTACTGTTACAACAGTTCTTTCTCATACATACATGAAGACAAGAATTATGTGTGCACTGTTGCACATATGTAATATTTTATAGCAACAATTGGAGGTGGATACTATACATCATACTCTCTAACCACATACCGACACTCCGCAGGTTTTGTCTGCCCAGCTCTGAGCCCAGCAAGATGGCGCCAGACGGAACCAGTACTGCGCCTTGTTGAGATAGTACCTGTTGCCAGTGGCCCGGTACAGCCACACGGCCGCCCAGGCCAACTCGTCCTCGTCGCTTGAAGATCTAAGGATCAAAAACCAAAATGTTTTATAGCAGATACTACCATAATATATGAGCTGAGTGTTCAGTTCCTTTCCTGACTGCTTTCCATCCCAGATATTTTTCAGCAAATTCTAGAAATCGCCTGGAACCCAATCTCTCAAGGCAGCGTCGACACTAAACAGGCTAGCACACTTGTCAGACTTATTATAATGTTACATACTGTTATGATGTTTGCTACCAGTAAACAGCCATCTGTCTCTATATTATACAACGCAACAACGTAGGGGACGGGCCTCGGTGAGGTGGTTCGGGTGTCTAGCGGAAAAGGTTTTCTCACCCCTTGTAAGTCCATCGTGTCCGAATTGTCTGCCAGTGTTCCTCTGCCACCTGTTAACAAAAGTCCAACATGTGTCAGGTAAACCAATCGTAAGCTTGTCGCTCGGTCGTCCAGGCATGCTGACTGCTTTAATTAGGCTGCCGCGGCGATTTCTTATCTCACAGTACCTTCTGCAAACCACCAAGTCGTCTTGTCTCTATCCGAAAGAAAAACACCATCCGGTAATTTTGTGCAGCAGGGAACCAGCCCTGAGCTTCATGAACTCAGGTGGGCCCACCTCTGAAAGCGTCTAGGAATAGTGGGCCGAAACGCTCTTTGACGAGGATAATTTCTACTGACGACTGGTAGATCCCTGCTGTACTTGCTCCCTGTGAGTTTATTCCTATTGTACGTGGCTAGCCCACAAGACTACCAGGAAAGACTGGTGACTCTCGGGAAAGACTTTGTGACACCTATGGAAAGACTGGCCCCCCCCCGGTATCGCCGGGGGGATAAACTGACATCTGGAGACAGATGTCGACTGTGGACCGGGTTGATCACCCCTAACACAGTATAATACCTATGATTTCGTACAACCACATAGAAATATGCCCCTAGGGCCCTCCGAAAGGGGGGGGGGGGAATAAAGGGCCCAATCAAATTGATACTCTCGGTGACGACTATGCTAGCCCCCGGACTCAGATACTCGCCCAACGTCCGGGCTGGCTCTATACATGTGGAAAGAGCTTCACGGGGTTGCATGGACTGAGAACGCATGCCAGAAGAATGAAATGCGAGGGTGCTCCACGCAGTAAACGCCGTCGCAAAACTACTACTCCTGTGGTAGTTTCTGAGTCGTCAGGGAACGACGGGTTGGGTGAACCCCA